TGTTTACGCAATCATTACACTTTTAAAGCAGAAAAAAGAGGACAGTTTTTGAATAATTTCCAAAGAGCTCGTAAATAAAACTGACTATCAAGAAAAGTATTTCCAAAGATGCAGACTTGAAATAAGAACTCTGTTATGCTAATTACATTAACATTGCTCCTTTCCATCCATTTCTGTTTGTGTAGTATGCATGTAATGATTACTAATCTGGAGGCTCAATTGCAGTTGAAATTCATATCAGATTGTGTAGTATCTTCAATTACTATACATTACTATATTGATACTGTAAATAGCGCTAGAAATTTGAGAAAGATGAGCAGACTCCTATACTGATATATAGTGCGGATGGGAATATGCTCAGTGATATGATTTCTATTAGATTAGGAAGGAGTTTGCTGGTATGATCATGGCAAATTTATGTGACAAAACTATGCAGTAACGGTCGTCACTTTGCAATAAATAAACTTAATCGAAAACAAACTCCATGCAAACGCAAAATTATTATGCATAGGTACTTTTACGTAATAAAGTTATTTTCCTTTTCTCAATTTTGTATTCGAGATTTTCAGAATTTGATTAAAATGCTGCTCTTAAATATTATTTTGACTTTCTAACTTTGACAGTTAGAATGAAGATGTTTAAATAATTTAAGGCAAATCGAAATGCTTGACACAGCCACCTTAGGAATTGCTCAATTAAATTCATTCACAAATGAATACTTCATTACCATAATTGCAAAACAGAACGTGTTATTAATTACACCACGACAGCACTCATGGGAGTAATACAGTTTATTCTTTCGTATTTAAATGATGGCAAGGTTTAAAAAAGTGAGATTTAGTCAGCCAAATTCGTGTGGTGACGAATTATTATTCACCACATTTCAGGCAAGCGTCAGAACAGAAATATTAAATTTAACAGGAAAAAAGACATCTATTCCCTCACCGAGATTTGAACCACCACTTTTCCAGTTCCTAGCCGGATATGCTTCCAGTTACATCCCGCATATGCCAAAGGAGAAACGATATATAGCCTTTCATTATATCTATATGTAATCATGCCCTCGTATACAATGGACTTAGAGTCTTTCATCTATCACTCGGATATTCCTGGATTCTGGAAATGCTTCTCCATTTTTCTTCGCATTTGTAACATAAAAAGATTTTAAAAGAAAATATTGGTACATTAACATTTAAATAACATATATATATATATATGCTACTTTACGTATAGTGCTTTATATATATGTGTATATACTAGATATAGTGCTACTTTATCATAAATAACAAAATTTTACAATGACAAGCAGCCTTAGTTTACATATTTGTATATAAAACTAAGGCAATACAGAAATAACAAAGTTGACAGCTTTGTTTTAAAAAATCAGGTGTTAGAAAACATAGAAACTCGTTTCTGTTTCTGAAACAGCACTGTAACACCAGTGTAACTTCGCAGCCTATTCATGCCTGCTTATGTCTGCTTATTGTATATACTTCAAAAAATATTTATTTTTCCTTGACTTCATATGGAAAGCTGTATGACAAAGAAATAGCTTTCTTGCATACAACGCCGTTGGTTCTACTTTTCCTTTCAATGCCTGCAAGGAATATATTTTAGTTTGCATAGGTCGCGAACCAATGCTGAAGCGATATTCGGAATAATAAAAGAAAATATTTTTTCTACATTTATTTGTTACAGTTACGTTACACTATATTTACAAAAGATTTATTATATTTTCTTATTTTCTGCCTAAAGCGGAATGCTGCTGAATTTAAAAAATGCTGCTGAATTTCTGTTTTCGTTTTAGCAAATCTGCTGTAGAGAGTTATGTAACTGGGTTTGTCGAGATTACATGCAGACGAATATAAACATTAAATCAGAAATAGTAAACGCTTTAAATATTTGCATAAATTAACAAACGTTTTCATATTTGATCAATCAATTTTACCATTTTTATTTAAAATCATGTCTACTAATGGACATTGTTTGCTGCCTAGGAAAGAATTTGCTTAAGAAGTAATCAATTGTTTGGTTTTGAAAAAATGGCGAGTTTGATAATACATATTTGGTAATTATGTTATATTCTTCTCAGAACGTATATATCTGTCTGATTTAAAATTCTATAAAATACTTACAGCAGAAACAAGGAAAACGCAGATACTTTCTTTTGGCATAGAACTAAATACATTTTGTTTTCTTTTAAAAATATTGCTTATAATAAAATACTGAGCTCGATAAAGACTTAAATAAATGAAATAAACAGGGCTGTAAATTTATAAAACTGTACATAAAATTTGTTCTGAAACAATTTTGAAAAATTTATAACTATTCTATAATGGAGTAAAACATTTAACGTCTGAAATATAAATAAATAAATATGTAAAATTTAAGAATTATATCAATCAAATATCTGTGAAGTGTAGGGTATCCCAGCAAAAGTTTCAGTGTTAGTATGCCCACAAATGTCATTTATCTTTTTGAAACAGAAAATATTTTTACATGCTTATTACTGGCTCCGATTTACGAACGCCGAAAATGATTTGACATGAGAGGACTGGCATTTTACTACTGTCAGTTCATTTCGCAGCTTAGTCGATTTGGGGAACTAAAGAAAAAAAAAAAAAAAAACAGCAAGCTTCGAGGGTGAAAGTTGAGAATGAGTGTTATGTACAAACTGTTAAAGGAAGCTCCGTGCGATCTTTTGAAGTCAAGAAATTTGAGGACACAGGTTCGACAACAGACATTAAATCACCATTTTCTCGATCGAGCCGGTTTATTGAAAACATGAATGTTGTGCATGACAGTGTTATTGTAAGTCCCAAAGAATCCGAACTTGAAGGGTAAAAATAAAGGAACTTAAAGAGGAAACGTAATGCGTTATTAATCACCTCGATAGGCAGATATGTGAGGAAGAGAATAAGGATTTCGAGTATATGGCAAGCATTAGTTTTTATTCTTGAATCGGAACATTTAGCTGTTACAAGTACGTAAGAATATTTTATATTTTGAAAAAGTATTTTATTGGGCATGTTGAATACGACGCTTTTATTGGCTCACCCTTTGCAAAAAATTTATTTAAAAATGAAAAAATTCTAATCGAAAAAAAAACTCAAAATCGAAATTCATTCATAAATTTCAAGTTCTGGGAAAAGTTCTGATATAAAAGTTTTGGGTTCTGATGTAAAACACAATGCATTAACCAATTAAGTAAAATTTTGAAACTTTTTATGTTCGAATTGTTTACCTCGTAAAAGAATAATTTATTGCATTGCTTATTTTGTGTCTTCTACCAGCTATCAGGCAACAAGTACAATAAAAATGAAATAAATACTTAAAACTATGACTCTTTGAATAAACAAACAATGCGTTTGATCAAAATGCAAACAAAAAAGAAAGATATTAAAATGTATAAGATATTACAATGAGCGTAATACAAATAATCAAAAACCGACGTTGTAGAGTATTAATTGGATTATGTAGATCGTGAAAGATGTGCAATGCCCTTATTGGGATTCGAACTTCGGAACTCTCAAATATGCGTCGAGTGTGTTTCGAATCACACCACAAAGGCCTACAGGAAAGGAGAAAGAAAATAATTCGTATATTCAACCTTTATAAAAAACGAATGGACATATGAGGGTCCCCAGTCACCAAATCCTGTGGTGACGAATTATCGTCCACCACCTTTTTATTTCGGGCCCCACTGTAGAGTCATTAGGTTTCTACGTGAAAAATATGCAGTCACTTCTCCGGTACTCGAACCCTAGACCTCTCGAATACTCCCGAATGTGCTTCCAATTACAACATGAAGGCATACTTGAAAGGAGAGAGAAACCGTTTTACAATGTAAAGTATTTTAATAAAATTTACATCTCATATATCTGTTAATTGGTATATTACGTATACAAACCCCACTGATTCTTATCACAATTAAGTCATGAATTATATATATATATATATATATATATATTGTGTCTTGAATTTAAAATAAAATTTCTATTTCAGCGTAATTCCTTTAATTACTTTTAATAATTGCATAAATTTCTTACGTGAAGAGGTTCTGTAAACATAACAAACATGAACAAAAACAGTACCTAATGAGCTATATATCATGCTGAACATAAAGCATAGTAGCGCTGAAGTATATGTTGTTAAAAAGAAGTCAATTTGCAATGCAGCTTTACCTACATTTTTAATTTCGAAAATGGGATTTAAATTCTTATCTTTAGTTACACTTGTAAGATAAATATATATTGTATGATACATTCTAAGGTGAAGAAAATTGCTTTTATAATTGTTTAAAAGTGATGCATAGTCGTTTAAAACAAAGTTCCGAAAGCACTTATCTTTTTATATTTAACAATTAACTCCCATAAAATTTTTAATTTAACGTAGCATCTGCTTTTGTTATCATATTAAAATAATTTCAATGAACAGAGTTAAAACAATTTACTTATTACCTTATAGGATTTAAATGTTTTGGTTCCTTTTGATTATTGAATTTCTTGATGTGAAAACGCGGAAAAAGTTTAAATTCAAAATTTGTAATGAACATAATTATTGTCTTTACTGAATATCGGCTATTAAGTAAGATTCATGTTGACTAAACTCCGCTGATCAGCTTAACGTATAGTGTACATTGTTTTTAATTAAGGAAATAAATCCATTACTGTAGGTATATGGGCGACCTTAACGGAGATGTTCCAACAAGGAACATATTACTTAACATCTAGAGATATTTTCTTTCAGAATTACTATACTTATTCTGTAAACGGGAATGGTATGAAATATGAAATGTTAATGTCAATTTCTAAATGCGTAGAATTTAGCAAATGATTTATAATTAAAATAATTGATGTAATGTTAATCGTATTCATTGAGTAATCTAATAAATAATTTACGTCTTTTAATCTCTATTGCAGTATGTAATTGAATATATGCAATTGCTCCGCGCAGTATGTCTTGCTAATTCATTGATTTATTATTATTAACTACATTTATTTCCAGATCCTCCACAGCTTACTTTGGTATTTGGTGCTAGCTTACAGTACGAGCATATAAGAGAAGGCAGTGACGTTTACTTCGAATGTAACATTCAGGCCAATCCACCCATTTCAGAAGTACGATGGAAATTCCAGTCCCGCAGTTTGGTGCATGAACCTCTCAACGGCATCATAGTTAAAAATCATTCCCTCCTTCTGCACAACGTGAGCCGCAGAAACAGAGGCACTTACCAGTGCGTGGCAACCAACAGTCGAGGTAGAGGCAAGAGCGAAGAAGTCTTTCTGAGAATACAACGTAAGTATCCCCCCATGTGTGAATTATACATAAGTATAGTGTTTGTTTTAGAGAGGAGTGGAGCAGTAGAAAGAAAAGAGGTAAATGTTGAAATATTTACTTTCACGTTAGTGTAGTTGTAAACCCAGTAGTGTAGTTGTAATTAAAAAATGCCCTTGTTTTAATTCTAATCTTGATCCTGTAAGAATTCCTAATTTGTTTACCTATGAATTTATTTTTCTTTTTTTTTTAATCTTTTTCCCCGTTTCTTCTGAATTTATTTTTCTTTTTTGATATTTTTCCCTGTTTCTTTTGTATATTAAAAAGTAGATTATATCATATCAATAAAACATTAAAAGGTAACTGATGTGAAAAATAATTTGCATTACAGCAAAATTTCTCCACTTTTTATATCAACATCTAGGATTCGAACAGGCTGGCTGCATGGGCGTTTTAGTGGTTTTCCTTCAATATGTGTATCTTATTCAGTTTCCCTTAGAAACATATCTACGAAGGCATTGCTCCCCTTAGGCAGATAGCACTCGACAGCTTTTCTGTAATCAAATAAACCATATTCTTGCACAACGGTAGTGCGATAGAACTACCTGTGTATCACTAAAGACTGACCGCAAGCCTCTTTCAATAATTCCTTTCACTTTCCCTGCACTTAAAGGGCTACTGGGGAGAAGTTTCAATCCCAGTTGACCACACTTTAGTTCGAGTGTCACTGTAGAGACTGTTAAATGTTTTGAAGCTAAGAAATATTATCGATTGTTCACTAGATGGGATTCGAATAATGGTTATTTCAATGATAGCTGGACGTGTTATTTACATATATCACGAAAGAATACGAATATTCTTTACAATTTCTATATAAGTTATCTTTAAAAATTCACTAGATACTGTACTTGAAATCCACAAACGATTTCCAATAGAGGAGAATTACAAAATTGGAAATTGTGTAATTCGTTTACATTTGTGATTTTAAATGAAGTAAAATTTCTTTAGTTTATGATATTTTTCATAGTAATATTATTCACTGATGTAATGTAAGATAAGAATTTATCGGTCTATAAAAATACAAATTCTTTTTGTAATGAATAATTAAAGGATGGTATAAAAATATCAAACTCAAAACAGACGTTAAGCGAATTATCGCTGCGTCTGAAAGGAACTACATAATTTAAAAAAAAAGGAACTAAAAATTGAAAGGAACTACAATCCCCAAACCTCATCTTAAATATTTCAAAACTCAGTTATAATTCTGGTTGGAAAGCAGAAAGGAGAATTTATAGTAAAGGCTGAAATTATACATAACTGCGTAATGCAGATTAATAGAAACTTAGTAGCAGTATTTTTTCCTGAATTAACGCATTTTTATTTTAATTTGTCTTAGTTACATCAAAGTTCTTGCAGACGGTTTTCTCAAAGACTTTCATCACTACATTTATATTGTACTTCCAAAGCGGTAATTTTAAACCTTTATTCTAAAGAATAAAATATAAAACAAATAAAAAGGCTTGTTTATAAATTAATAACAGCAGTTATCGTATTTAAATTAATATTGCATTAGTTTTATCTGTTCTGAAAGTACGAAAAATTTAAATTTCTTTTTATAAAAGATTTTTAACATGATATTTATATCAAATGTTTACGAAAATTTTACTCTAAAAATTTATAATTAGAAGATAAATAACTTCTTCATTTAAATGGTTTAATGAGTTTTCAATTACATTTGGATTAAATTGGCAGTAAAAGATTTATATTTTAATAACTTATTACATGGGCACTCTCAGTTTAAAATCTCCTTCAATAATCACTTCAGCTAAAGCAACATGACGCTTCACCATCAACATTACATTCGCCCTTTGACTGTCGCTATAATTGCGTTCAAATGAATATATAAGCTGAGCGTAAGTGGTAGGTTGGGTGTAAATAATTTAGATCTCTTTATCTCTTGTCAAGAAATTCCTTATAATTATCCTAATTGAATTTTAAAATATGTTACTTGCCCTGTCTTACGCTTATGTCTTTTAATGCATTCAGTATTTTAATTAAAACTGGAGAGCGAGGCCCATTAAACATATTTTAAGAAAATAGGTTCCGCAAAAGAATTTAAATATTTAATACTGAAACCATGCTAACGTTACTATAATTAAACTGTGATTGACATCTCCTTTTCTTAGAATACTTAAAACTTAAATTTAAATATTAGACGTTATTTAGGACACATTTTATAGTGCATTATTAGGGCTAACTCGACAGCCTTAATATTAGGTATGCCGTTATTTCCTATTAGAGTGTTTCTAGAAATAAATATTTAAGTATTGTAACATAGTAGGTATGTCTCTAAAGCATACAGTATTGCATTTACTTCGTAGGACAAGTGGTATAATAGTTTTTTTTTTTTTTTTTCCAGATACTAGTTCCCATTTCTATTGTATTTGCATGATTGTATGAAACAGTAAAAAATAAAGGTTATTTCTTATCTGTAGAACAATTTTATCACACATTTAGACTTACTATATTTAGGCCAGAAATCAAACTTAACATTAGACTGCAATAGGTTTTCAATAAAACTTTATCAACTTCAAGGATGAACTGTCTCATGTCGTTCTTTTTACGACGGAGAACAAATTGCAGAAATGTGAGAAGTCAAAGAAACTTTATAAAACAACCAGCGCGCGGAATAAAGAAATTTGGCACCATTTGTGGAAGGAAAAGAAAATGAAATATGAAAATTTAATCATATTAGCATTTTAAAAGGATTGGAAGATCAGTGACTGAGATTAATATCATTTCTGAAGAAGGTAAAATTTTGTGACCGTGATCTGATATCCAGTTCGCCAGATGAAGAAGGTTTGAGAATAACTATCAGAGAATTAAGACTAAAGTTGTCGCTTATTTGTAACAAAAAATTAATAGTTGCAAAACATTTGTTTATTTCTCTTTATTCGAGCACTCAATTCAATTTATTTGAAGCAAAATGTTAAAGCTCTTTTATAGTTTATCGTGTCAGGATACACTGACAAGAAAAAGCTATAGATTCATAATAATCATAACAATAATCAAATATAGAGAAGGAATTTCTAAGACTGAAACAAAGAATTGTCCTGATAAGTACGAAATAACTTAAAAGCTAAATTTGCGGAGCATCCGAGCTATTTTCTAATTGCAATAAGGATAAAATGCGATGATAGCAAAGTTAAGACTTTTTATAACTATGCAGTTTTGCATCTCATAAAACCAAATTTGTATTTAGGAGAATCATCTCTAAGTAGTTTGACGATGCTATATTAAAATCACGCCATTAAATAATTTGACGGCGCTATATCTTTCTATGGAAACATTATAAGATTTTATTTGATTTGGAGCCAACAATTCCCATGAGGCGTGAAGCAATATATCACGGTGCCTGAAGTAACTACAAGTCATGGTTTTAAAAATTTTTTATTTAAATAGAAATCTAGAACGTAAACGCACATCTCTCTGTTAATAACATGAGCTCCAGCTCAGCTTTAGTAAACTTTTAGTAAACTCCCTAGTTCCTTTTCATTCCACACTCAAATAAAATTCATCTTCCCGCACTTTGTTTCAATGAAGTGAAAATTCGATTCCTATCAATAAAACTCCATCTTTGATAGTATTAATAAAAATTTTAACAAACATATTTTAACAAACATATAAACATATTTAAGCACAAACATATAACTCTTCCATCTTAATAAAACTACAAGTGCAAATTTTATATACGATCTTTAGAACATTTTTTTCTTCTGATGTTGCCATTCCGTAAAAGCACAACTCTTTTTCTTTTATTCATAATTCACGGTCTCTTTCTGTTGCCATTCTGGAAAAAACAACTCTTTGTCTTTTATTCATAACTCACACTTTTTACAACAATATAATATACTCGAAGTTGCCTTAGTAATTCTAACCGGGATGTCAAAATCAAATTTCAACCTAAACCCAAATAATTACAACTATTTGAGCCGGCAGGAATAAAGTTCACGCGCAGTTAGAACTACGCTGTGTCTTAAAACTCCAAAAACATAAATCCAAAACATCCATTTTATTTTATTTTCAATATTTCACATAAATTATCGAACAGAGCATGATTGACGAGAAAACTATTTTAATTGTTTACAGTCGCTATGTTTTATGCTTACATTTTATCAACCAATCTCGTAAATTTATTAAATAATTAATGGCCATGGTTACTAATATATCTCAATTTGAGTCCATTAAACTATGGACGTTTAAATACATTTCTTTGTTTAATTCTGTATAGCTGTTACCAGCTTCTATGAAGAACGTGTCCGAAAAGCGACGAGTAAGAAAGCCTGTTAGCTCAATGCCTAGGATTGCTCTCTTCCAAAAAGCTTTTTTTTTTTTTTTTTTTTCTAAAATGAAATCCCATTTTAAAGAGTACCATTTTTATAACATTTTAAAAAATCAGAATTTTACTAGAACGAAATGCTCTAAGAATTTTGAAGTACCTGAAGAAATTTAGAATCTTAAGCATATTTCGAAGGCATGTACCATCATATGGAATATGCGTAGAGGGCGAAATCTGAGCAAAGCATGTTCTTAGATCTCAAGCTTTTATATTCTGTTGATGTACTACGTATGTGTTTTATAGCATTTCCTTTAATTCCATAAACAACATTGAAATAATAAAAAAATCCTTGTCCTACCCGTTCTATCAAGAAAATGCCGTTTGGCGTAATTAATTACTACATCATTTATAGAATAGTACTGTCCTTAACAGCTATTGTAATATCTTCTTACTGCCGGCATTGTCTTTAAGGTAACATCTTTTGCATTGGAGTTACCTATATCATCTAAACAGGCTTTAGATGAAGACATTGTGAATACCATTAAATCGTTTGAGCCCAAAAACTTGAAAAATCAACTGTGCTTGCTGTCCACAGAATTTAAACTACGGATCTTCCAGCTGCCGGCTAGATGTGCACCATGACAGCGCGTATGGAAGAATGCTATAATGTTTCATTTTGTTC